TGTAGCCATAGGACACAGAGTGAGACAGACATGCTCTTTTCTGTCGTCGAGAAAACTCAATAAAGTAGTAGTTGTCAAGCCACACATTTGGAGAAAGCTGGCACATTCTTTGGTACTTACAAAGTCTTTTTGTATAATGATGATATATCATTATGTAACCAACTTCTCCTAAACCATTGCCGAGGTAGCAGAGCTTTTGTGTGGCTTTCTGCTTTCATTTCTTTCTTAGTATTACTTTTTTCCAGGCCTTTGAATGGCCACCCAGTGCCAATAGTACCGTGTCGGACACGGTTATAAATTTAAAAAGGCCTACTGCTGCTGCTGCTACTACGGTTGTTTTTGTTGTTGTTGTAGTTGTTGTTTTTGTAGTTGTTGCTGTAGCTGTTCTCCCTTACCCTTCCAACCTCCTGTTCTTCTACTTTAAAGGTAATTAATATACCCATTGCTGGGTTCTGCTTCTTCTACTTCTATTAAAGGCTAAACTTTGTGACTGCTGTTTTTGCCCGAATTGACTCTGTAGCACTGAAATGGCAGCAGCTGATAGTATGTTGGTAGCAATAATATATTCCTCCTCCTCTTCCTTCTTCTTCTTCTTACTCCTCCTCCTCCTTTCTACTCCTCCTCCTCCTCCTCCTTCTTCTTCTTCTTCTTCTTCTTCTTCTTCTTCTTCTACAAAAGGTCTTGACGATTGAAGCAAGTGATCAAATACGTTACCGTCAAGTGTGGCTTGGCTGCACTCAACCAAACTCAAGGCCAGCAGTGGCTTCCTGATAAAACCGGTCAACCCACAAAATTGAGGGTTGGTCGGTTTTATCCAGGAAAATTTGAGCGACATAACCGTCTAACCCACACAGTTTCATTAAAAGCAATTTTTAAAGGAAAAAAAGTTCTACAGATTTTCGGTAAAGTGTTTTTATAGGTGTTTAAAGCATTGATTTATCGTTAGACGCCTTTGTTTTGAAATAAAACAGTTTTTTCCTTCTCCTGTAAAATTTACCTCGCTGGGGTTAGCCGGTTTTATCACAAGGCCGACGATATATCCCTTTGTAGTTGTAGACCTAGATAAATAATAAAATATGTCAGATGTTTGAGACCAAAGTGTTCCCAGATCTCATCCAAAGTTGTTTCTTGCTAGCTGTGTCCACGGAGTCATGGTTACTCTTCACCTATTTTACGTCTTTCCGACTTCTAGTGGTGGGTACGTGAACAGGAAAGTCAATTTTAAACCTGTTTTGTATTTTCCTCTTTGCAGTGAAAATAAAATAAGGACATTAATTTCTACTGACCACAGATGCTATCTATCCTTTAGACTTTATCACTGACTTCCTGTATTGTCAGTTCTTTTTACACAGGAGACTCTCTCATGAGAGTGGTTGGAGGGCCCCACTGGAAAGTCCTACAGTAGTCTCCGCCTAAACGCACGGTGCTCGGGAGGGCACCTTAGCGTGTGTTTATACGGAGCGTGCGTTTACATGAACCTTTGCAAGGGGAGGAAGGGACGCAGTCATCTCTACTCCTTATTACTCTAGTGATCTCCCTTGGAGAGAGGCGATTGTTTTGGCAGAATAATGACGACTCGTGACTGTTTTGTGACGGATTCCCCGACTGGGTTTAAGAATACAAAGGCGTTGAATGGGGTGGGGGGGAGAGAAAGACAGACTCAATGTTATAAATGCACTACAAACATCGGGAACAGATAGCCTAAGACTAAGAGGAAACTGTTGGTGATAGTCATAGAGACGACGGACCAGCCACGTGGCTTTCCAAGCGACCAGCCCCAACCTCAAATTCATGCAGAATCTTTCTCTACATTCAGAGAAACATTTCTCTTGTGATTCGTTGAACAAGTACGTTCTTCGAGAGCAGCTGATTAGGCTTATTCGGCTTATCTTTAATCCTGTAAAGGCATGTCTAGTGTTTTACAGCATTTACGCGTGTTGCGCATCGGGCTTAGGTCTAACTAAACATTACACGCAGTCACCCAAACACCAGTCTCAGAAACCTTCTCTCCAAAGATAGATCTGCATTTCCTGTGTCCAATCAAAAAACATTTCACCGACCCATCCCAGACCTAGATCTACGTGACTGTGGAAAGTTGGGAGGTGAAAATGCTGTCCATAACTCTCTTTGTTCGGCGTGAGTGGCACGCTCACCAATTTTCTAGGCTTGTCTTATGCAGGCTGTGCAGGTTCAAAGGTTGTAGTGAACATTTCCCCTGGTCAAGCTTTACCTGTCGGCATGTTTCGCGGATCGGAGCGTGCGTTTAGAGGGAGTGACCGTGCGTTTGTACGTCTTAATTATATAGTAAAAAACCCATCAGATGACGAAAGCATGTGTTTGAGCGGAGCGTGCTTTTGTATGGCGTGCGTTTAGGCGGAGACTACTGTATTTCTTTACCATTCTTCTTTCACTGTACGTCTTGCCTTTCCTTGCTATAAATTATTTTATTGTGTCGATATGTTTCTCTTTACTCAAACTCAAACGAACAAACAAACCACTCTTTCATGATAGACATTTGTGATAATTGAGGAGGCTGATCATAAGACGGGTTTTGTTCACATACTGGACACAGTATCCCTTGAACCTTTAGTGTATGCTACTCTCTGCGGATGTTTTAGCATAAGCCTACTAGTACTAGTATGGCAATGGTGATGATGAAATTGGTAGACAAAGGCCTGTCAGTAAAATAAGGGTTTCAAATTCCAATATTGAGGAGAAAGAATCAGACAAATCTTTTTGCTAACAGAAGAAAATATGACATGTGTAGGCCTACTGTTCAAAGCTGTACAACTTGTGGTGTAGTGCATCTCCATTTGCCAATGTTTTAGTTCTAGTTTTCTACTTAGAAAATGAAAAATTTTTGCCAGTGCCTAGTCTGAAAGAAAGACTGAATGATGGCTGTGAAAAATGTGAGATGTACAAAATCAGTTGGGAGTCTGTGTGTTCTTCAGGTCAACCTGTGACCGTATCATATTATGTCTCCTTTACTACTGCCTGTGTCTGTTCAAGGTCAATCTTTGACCTTGAGTAACCTTCACCGTTACCACTTTGGACTATGGAAACTTGCTTTAGATCAGGTGCCACGAAGGATGAGCCTAGAAGAAATAATGTTATTTACTTATCAACTCTGACAGAAATACAATGATCCTTATTTTGAATGTCCTCAAGTGCAAGCAGTACAGGGCATTGATATGAAACATTTGTAGAACCATGATTTAGGTTGTTGGAAGGCGCCACTGGTGGATCCTACTTCTGTCCTTTCTCTCTGTTGTTTCTATCTTACTCTTACTTTTCCCTTGATGCACTAAAAGACCATTATTGAGGCAATGAGTTTTTCTTTACTCAAAATTTCCAGTCCCATGACAGCAAAGATATTCCAGTATATAGGCCTACATGTATAATAAATGGTAGTCCAGCGCCCTCTCATGTTGGTTCCTTATAATGAAATCTACTGGCTGCTGCCTCTGTGTTGGAAACAATCAATACTCCACATAGACTTGTACTCCTAGACCAATCCCTGTCATGGCCACCACTGTTTGCTATCTATAAAAACTTTGCTGCGGAACATGCGCACTTTGGACCGTGTTAACACTATCACGCCCAAATGAAGGACAAAACACCAGTTTTGCTTTTGTCAAATACACACAGCACCTTTTTCCTTCATTTGGCTCTAATTGAGTCAAATGGTGCACCGCACCCCATAGTGAACCACAAATACATCCCAGCGCACGGTCTAGGAATACTAGGATGTTATAACACAAGTCTATGATGCTCCCTTATATATATATTATATGTATATAATATATATGCTGGGGGGTTTTATTTCTTTATTGTACATGTATTTTTAAATTGTATGTTGTATTGATACATTTTTACATAGATCTCATGTAACTCATCATTAGTGTCATTTCTGGAGATCAGCAAAAATGTATGTGGTTTTTTTTCATTTTAGATTTTCCCTAACTCATCGATAGTTCTATCTTTTGACGTTTATTATATTTTTTAATATAATAATTTAATTTAAGTGTTCTTTTGAATACGAGTTATTTGACTTTATGAATTTTTTAAAAACCCTGAAAATCCTCCATTTTCTGAGTCAGTTTTCTTTGAATCCAAGTTGGTTGTAACCAAGTTTCACTGTATTTGAATAAAATGTAAGTTATGGCCACAATTGAGTACCCTGTTCTTTCCATGGAGAAACTATTCCCACTGCTGCAATAACATCTCATTGAACATGCTCCTCGACCAAAATGATTGATTATTGTTCGTTGGTTTTGTTTTTGCCTTTTGATACTCATGCTTTTGGTGTTGTAAAAGCCTTGAATAAAGTTATTATACATTTGTTGTTTTTTTATACTTCTGAAATTATTGTGTCTTAATTAAATTAATCTATAGGCCCTACAATGAATTAGGAGTAGGACCAACTTTGAAGCTTGAATTTGAGCCATAAAATCTCAATCTCCAATTCATGATGAAATATTTCTCTCACACACACACATTTCAAAGATTAGTAGATAGAAAAATCTCTCTTCCTGCCTCTCACTAACTCACACAAGCGCACACATTTTAAAGTTCAATGGAATTTCTCCCCTTTTCTCCAACAAGCTCATTTTTAAGCATAGATTAGATGGAATATCTCTTGCTCTCTCACACAAACATTTCAACGTATTGATGGAATATCTCTCTCTCTCTCTCTTACACTAGTTACACACACATTTCTGAGTGAAGACTCTCTCCCAGAAGGACACCTTGAGGCAAACGGCCACAATTATACTCCAGATTCCTCCCCTGTTCTGGGAACACCAACTACCAACAGAGCTACAAAGGAATGGAACAGTAGGGGAAAAAAGACCAAACAAGAAACAAGTGCTATCTCAGCTTCCCAATTCATCTTTGCCAACACACTGGGGAAAGCGCTTTCTCAGTAGTTAGCCCCCCAGTTTATCTGTATTACTACACAAAAATCCTCGCAACAGACAAGGAAAAATCAGAGGCAGATCAATGTTTGTATGTTTTTATTTCAATAACATTACATTAAGAAAGCATACTGACACAGACTTCATTCATATTAAGTTTTAAAAATTACTCCTTCATCCATCCTCAACCGTCTCCCTCTCTTAGTCCTAGCCTTTCTAACAGTACAGCTAAAAGTTTGACATAAAATGTCCACAAAAATGGAAAATGTCAACAGGGATGATCATGATGTGGGAAAATCTAGCTGAGAGTCTTGAGAAGAGACAATCTGGCAGAATCGTTTCTCCAGCACAATCAGTGTGGCATTCCTCCGATAATCATGCAGCTTTTTCCTCTCAACTGTTCCACAACAAAGTTCATCACCATTATCATCGACCACAGCTCAACTATTAAGCTCCTGTTACAAAATCCTAGCTCAAATAGTACATTCAGTTCAGTTGTGGGAATTTATAATAATAAACTTCAACAACTTTATGCAAGACTAGCACAAAAACAGACATGCCAATCACTTTGAACTTTCACGCACATTGCAGTTGTTCACACAGAGACCAAAGTTTGTCACAAAATTTTCATCACAAGTCGCACTGTTTACTCTCTGCATAATACTCAACTTTGTGACATCAAAACTCTCATTCTATACCAGAGTCATGGTGTCTTCCTTTCTTGTCAGACACATCATGCCTTCTCAACAATAAATCACTGCGCTTTCAGTAAACAACGTATCACCCAAAACACACCACCTCACCCCAAGTCCCCAGTCTCTTCCACAAATCGTCATCCAAACACACCATCACACTTTCAGCACCAGACTCATGATTCGACATCTAAAACACACCATCCCACCTTCAGTACCAGTCTCACAATACATAATCTACAAAACACCACCCCATTCTTAGTGCCAGCCTCCTCTACAACACATCAGACAAAACACACGATCTCATCCAAAGTCTCAGTCTCCTCTCCAGTACCGGGTACTTATACAGCATCTGTCTCTGAAACAAAACACCACACCCTCAGTCCATGCCTCCTAAAACAATACATCAGCCAAAACACAACACCTCATCCTCAGTACCAGTCTCACAATACATCATCCAAAATAAACCACTTCATCCTTAGATCTAGTACCAATCTCTACAACTCATCACCAAAAATACACGACCCCACCTCAGTATGAGTCTCCACTATACATCAACCAAAACACCACCACACCCTCAGCTCTCAGTACCAGTCATGCCTCCTATTGCCAATGTCTTGGTTGCCCTTGTAGCGGTCTTCCTTCCCATCTTGATTGTGTCTGTAGATGTATTGCTCGGGGAAATATTCCTGGTTCAGGTTGTACAGTTGTAAGACTCTGTTACATTCCTTCCTGATGGTGGCGTGGTCCATACGCCATATGTCTTCAGACTCCCCTCGCTCTTCCACCAGTTTTACCTGCAGGGGGTGGGGGTGGTTGGGGGGAGAGCACACAAGAGATGTGTCATACATTTATGGCCAAGAATCTATGTCAGTGTTAAATCCTTCAAGACATAAAACAGGTACAGTAGTCTCCACCTAAGATCCTGGTGCTCGGGAGCAAGGAAAAGCAGGATCTTAGGCAAACCAGGATCTTAACCGACGAACCCAGGGAAGAATCTATAGCGACCCATGTTAAGGCTCACAATCATTAAAACAGTCTCCCTCCACTCTAAAATAAACTGACCTGACCCCTAGGTGGGTTTATGGCATATGGCGAGCAAAGAGTGGTTAACCTTGATGACCTATCACGGTGCATAGTGGCATGAGGCGTGCCATTTTCACTTATTATCCTATCCTATCATGAGCCTCAAGATCTACGCTTATCCAGTTGATCCTCCCCTTTACCTGTCGAAATTTATAACTTTCCATCTCTGACCGAGTTCCCCCCCCTCCCCCCAACCGCCTTTGTCGTTACACACCATTACGTTGTGAACACACCACAATTAAAATTCAGTCTGTCTCGCAAATTCGGGAGCAGAGACAACTGCTGCAATGGTAAGGGAAGAGTTCACAGTTCGATGTGATCCTGCCTGGAACAAACGTGTAGGCCTTACCCACCCAAAGAGTGGTGTAAGTTTAGGGGGGAGAGCTCAGGTGTGAGTGCGATGCGTGGAGAAAACAAACATGTCGGTCAGTTCACATCCTGGTGTGATCACGCCAGGGGCAAACATTGTATCGCTTCATTGAGTTTTACGTGTATGTGATCACATTCTCGATAGTGGCTGATCTTTGACGCGACGGACAGTTTGTTAATCTCAACTCTTTCGCTCTTGGTTGATCGGCTGTGCCCGCCCATGTTTTTGTTCCGCAAACTATGATCTGAAAAGCGGGATCTTAGCCGAATGTAGACCTTCAGAGCCAATCAGAGCGGGATCTTAGGGGTGACTTTTGTATAGTTAAAAAAACTTAAAACAGCAGGATCTTAAGCGAACCGGGATAGTAAGCAGTGGGATCTTAGACGGAGGCTACTGTAATTTCATAGGCAGGACACAGGCAGCCTACTCCACCAAGATACCGTAACAGGATGATGTAATAACAGGACTGAACAGGTAGAGATGATATCAACATGGAAACAGTAAAAGTACACTAGAGCAACACAAGGTAGAAACATTAGACAGTGCTTGTCAACCTTTTCAAAGCCAGCACCAATTTTTCTCACCTTTAAGAGGGTAAAAGGTTCACATCATCCACCAACATGCATCTTCAAGCCGGGCATAAAATAATATCCTGTCACTTCCAGTGTGAGGACCAGATAATTACCAAATCACCCTCTTGTGGGCAATATAGCCTAGACTGGCAAGCACTGTATTAAAACAAGGCAAGGTCAAAACACTAGACCACTGTTTCCAGGACCATACCCAAGCTCCCTCTATGGATGTCAGAGGTCTCCACTAACCCCCTTGGAGATAAGATCAGATTTTATTTCAACAAAAAGCTCTGACTTTCATAAATGTCTCACAAACCCCCTGGGATAGACTCACACACCCGCAGAGATTCATGCACCCCAGGTAGGGAACCCTTCCATATGAACAAACTGGGGTACAATGTATAAATAATAAAAGAGGGCAAGAACTTTGGCTTATGAGATTTTTCCATCTATTACTATTACTATTCCAAGTACTTTCCCTTTCGAGTCAAAAGTATTCAAAGTTTGGGGGGGGGGGGGGGGGGGCAGTCTTAAACTGGGGGCGACATTTCCCCTTCTTTTCCTATCCATGTAACATCACGTGTTATTTAAGGGTCCCCCCCCTTGGGGGTTTCCCCCCCCGAAAACGAATTTGATTTTTGAAAATTAAAAAATTGTGAACTTGCAGGAAAATGTGTATTTCCCATGACCGACCGACCACTTGATTATTTCTCCAGAGTGCGAGGCATTTTCCTGGAAAAAAATCCCAGTCCCCACACCCGGAGGGGGAGCAACCCCGGTCCAATTATACCGTATCCCTCCACCACCAGGAGAGCGCACGGGGGGACAGGGGTCTTGTTTGACTAAAGTATTTCAGTCTATTACATGTATAATTTGTCCCCCCCTTTTTTTTCTTTTTTTTCGCCTTGGGGCTTCGGAAGGGCCTAGAACAAGAATTTCGACTATCAAGGACCAGTCTGGGTGTCATGATTCATGTTATGAACTGACAGACTAAAATTATGGGTCAAACTCAGAGAAGAGCAATAACTTGAAAGGCTCAAGTAGACCCCTCGCACTGTGAAAGTTGTAACAACCGTGGAAGGGCAAGATGCAGTACCCCTAAAATCTGCCAGTCTTGAACAGAAAGCTACAACATACACTGTAGGTATAATTTACTATCACCCATCCAATGAAACGTGAACACTTTATTTCAATAACAAGGGCCTCACAAATTTGAAGTTGCCCGGTTTCCCCCCCGGGAATCCCCCAAGGGGGCTTTGGGGAGGCGCCTAATCAAAATATTGAAATTGCTTCCAAGTTTTTGTCCTCCGGTGTTGCCTTCACACCCCCCCCCCCCCCCCCCCAGTGTATCTTTTTAAAAAAAATCAATAATCCACCCCCCACCTCTATTCCATAGTCCTATAATTCGCAATGCCGTTACTCCCACCAAAGATGGCCTTTGCTCACACGATGTCGTATTTTTAAGATGCGAATGCGCGCAGGGTCACTGACCGGTCACGATGGCGAGCTAAACAATTTAAAAATCGGACGACGCTTGTATTTTCTTTTCTTTTTTTCCCACAAGTGACAGCACAGAGACGAGTCGGAGTATTGATAAAATTTTATTTGCACGGCGACACAGCGTTTATACTGCACAACCTGCCTGTCACAAATGTTGCTTTATCAGACTACCGATGGCAAACTTCTCGGTGGTAACGAAAGCGAAAGTAGATCTTGATTTTCTCGATCGAGCCTCGGCGTCACATACACTTCCGCCATAGCCGCCTGTTCGTGTGAAACATACTCTCGGACAGGGAAAAGCTGAATGAATATAATATCACATTCGCGACCGGCAAAACTGAACTTACTGACCTTATCGCACTTGGTTTTCAAATATTCCAGTTCCGTGATACAGCGACTATTTTGACAAAAGATGGGACTTGAGATACCTGTAATTAGGTGTACTCGCCCAAGCTGAATCTCGCATTTTTCGCATTCCAGGATGCGTATTTTTTCATGAAAAGTCGTATTCGCGCATTTTCGGCAAAAAATCGTACTAAAATACGTAAAATCGTACTGTTTGGCATCCCTGCCCTCTTCCCTTTCAAGATGAAGAAAAGGGAAGTAACTTTTGCACTTTCAAAGTAAAACATACAGCACAAATGTGAGGCAACGTGGTGGAATCAGGATCTCGTCAATTTTTAAGCATATAGAGTTATTAGTATCATTGTAAAGCTTGTTCACTTGTCTTTTTTTGGATGAAAAAAAATATCCATTTATCTAGAATACAAATCGAAATATTTGCAAATGACGGAGGTGGGGTCACCTGTTATCAGAGGTAAAATTAGTGAGAAAATGGCCGCAAAAGATTAGTTATTTCCGTAGCTTAAGAGTCCGTGGTAACTGAAAATTACATTTTTTTGTGCCTTTAACCGTTTTTCAGAAAATTCCATGAAGAAAGTAGTTCTTTAATGGACATGAAAGGTGTCGAGCCAAAAAACCAAAATTTGACAAAAATTCACAAACCTGCGGAAAAATGCAAGTTTGATTATTTCGACGAGAGCCTGATTCCACCATGCTGCCTCACAAAAGATCATGACAAGAAAAGGGAAAAGAACTTACTTCTGCCCAGGCTTGCTCTACCTCTGTCGATTGATCATCGATTTTATGCTTCACGATAAATTCCCCATTCTCTGTGAGGTAGCAATGCTTGTAGTCACTTTCTTCTTTTGGGAGTCCATAGGGAAAGGTCACAGGCTTGATACGTATCAGATGCTTAATCTGGCTCAGTTTCTCATTCATCTCAGGCGTGTTCTTCAAAACTACTGGGTTGTAAGCCTGGGGAACAGGGAACACAAAATGTCAAGATAAAATATATAGAATATAGCTACATAACTTTCTGAGCCCAAAATTATTTTAAGTACAGTGGAAACCATATATAACAGGCCCGGTAATAACAGGGATCCGGTAATAACAGGGATTTTTAAAATCCCCGTTTTTTCCTACTCTTTGTCTCTATTAAAAGTTATCGGCAATAACAGGGCCTCTTCGGAGCCCAACCGGTTATAGCAGGGACAAAGGCTCGTTAACAATGTGTAAAAAGTAAGAGAAAGAGAAAGAGAGAAAGAGAGAGAGAGAGAGAGAGAGAGAGAGAGAGGGAGGGAGGGAGGGAGGGAGAGAGAGAGAGAGAGAGAGAGAGAGAGAGAGAGAGAGAGAGAGAGAGAGTAACGCAGTGATGGAGCAAGCCCATGCAAGCCATGTCATTGCAAGCACACGCAGCGGGTGAAACGAGAGAGGGCTGCGGTGTGCTGCAGACCTTGATCTAGCTTGAAACCTAGCAACACGCACGCGTAATGTGTGACCAACGATGTCAAACGCAAGGGAAAATGCCTTTCAATTGACAAAAAATACGAAATAATCCAGGCTGTTGACAAAAAGCAAGCTCCACTGGCAGAGATTTGTCGTCAGTTCGACATTCCACAAGGGTCGATTCACACCATTATCAAGGATAGAGAGAAGATAGTGGCAGCACATTCCAATGGAAAGTTTGCTCTGGATCGAAAGAAGATGAGACTGCCCGATGCAGATGCTGTGGACCAAGCTCTTCTGGTGTGGTTTAATGAGGCAAGGAGAAAGACGGTGCCAAAACCCCTGTTCGTGGGTACTTGTGGCAAGGGCAACTACCCATGAAAAAGTACAGCTGGATTAGTCCACAAATGCTTACTTTCCTTGCATTTCTGATTTAACAGGGATCGGATATAACAGGACATTTTCTCTACTCCCACCATCCCTGTTATATCAGGTTTCCACTGTATGCGAGGGTGCAAGAAAAATATCATGACACCAAACAACATTCGGTTTATGGACCACCTCTCTCTCCCTCTTTCTGTATAGGAACAGTTGAACCTGATTTTAACGGCAACCTGTCCCAAACAATCACCTATACAAATGACAACTTCTAACTACTCCCTTTGCATTATTTTTCTCTTTATTATAATGACATAGTCTGCGACGTCCGCCAGTCTAAGACAACTACTTTTCCCCTCAACAATGGGTGGCTGTCTTGGACAATTTCGAAAATTTACTTTGCAAAACTTGTTAAAATACAGATTACAGAACAATTCTCTTCAGCAAATTTTAACCCAATGGACAAGAGCACATGCCTCAGTGTAAGGCAGTGAACCAAGAGAGCTTAGGTGCAAAGGTCCTGTGGCCTCGAATCATGTGTGTAGCTAAGAAGGGGGGGGGAGAAGGCAGAGTGTGCTTAAGGATTAAATGGGCGCGTAAGAAACATGTATGCCTCGAATGAAGAAAGTGTCTGTGCACCTTGTCAAAAAGTTCCAATTCCTTCAATACGTCCTTCTCCCAGTAGGGTCGTGTGTAGTGGTCCTTGACTCGGTAGACCATGTGTAGCATGGAGGGCTCTGGCTCTGGCTGTGAGGCTTTGGCCTGTTGGTGTTTGAGGATGGGCTCGGCCCATGATTTATCTGCAGGGTCAAACCATGACTGGACTGGCCTCCGTCTCTTGTTCCGTATACCTCTCTTGGCTGTCCGCACCGATATCACCTGGACTGGGGTCTGGGTCTTCAGAAGAGAAAACAGCTGGGGACGAGGGGAAAAAAATTCACTTTTATTTATTTCTTATAAGACACGGAGACTAACTGGCAACATGACTACTTGTAATGGTCACCCAGTAAAATCAACAACTCTTCCCTCACAAAATTTTAAGTTCGGTTCTTCCACCAATACATAGTGGTCAATTTAAGAACATCTGCATAAATCCTTACATTTTGACATAACAATTCTTAATCATTTAAGACGAGAATTCATCTTCACCGTAGTCTTACCATAAATATTACCATGCAGCGCCAGTGGTCTAGTGTTTGGGCTGTTTGACTCAGTTGTAAGTTCAAACCCTGTTAAGGGCCCAAAGTTGTGTCCTTGGGAGGGCACTTTTTAAGCAAATTTTTCTCCCTTTACCAGTTTACCCAGACTGGAATGGTACCCAGCTATAGACAGTGGAAGATCTTGTCAGTTTATTAGTGTTTGAATGCTGAATCGGCTGCTTGCACTTAGGATACCCAGGAAGCCTAGAATATTTTTTTGTGTTCTCAGGTCCACTAGGGTAATAATACAGATTGAAAAGCGCATAAGGCTTACTGATGAGTGGGGACATGTGCTATACAAAAGGCTGTTTGTTATTATTTTTATCACTACAGTGGAGTCCACTTATAAAGAGTCCGGAAAAAACGAGAAGTCTGTTATAAAGACACTAATCGAAAACCCTGTTTTTTTCCTATTCTTTACCCCTGTAAATAAAATACTGCTATAGCGCTGTCAAACAAACATGCGAGTCGGTTATAGCGGAATATTGCTGCTGCTGCGCACAGTGCATAGGCCAATTATACATAATATAAAACCTCGCCAGTTGAGAAACTTGTTGGTGATCTAGCGAAACAAAGAATGGGAGAGCCCACGTGTGTCAATAATTAAGGCCAGAGCGAATGAGTAGGAAGGGTGTGGCATGCGCAGACAAGCAGAACGCATCGCATGATAGTCCAGCGTAAGCCTAGTTTAGATTATCAAGGCCTACCATGCCTCTCACTTCTCCTATGCAGGGATGGAGAGGTCCCAGCAATGTGATGGATGGAGCGAATGTGTGACTGGCGCAAGCAGACGGAATGCACCACAGGGTGTGGTGAGGGGGGAGGGGGGGGGGAACACAGCGGGCGAGTTAGCCCAGAGCCCTTTCTTTCTGATCGCCAATACCAAGCTGTCAGTCCACATCGCTAGCGCTAGAGAAAGAAACCTGATTCGATTTTTAATCAAGTCAGACCTAGAGGTCAAGTTGAAACAAAATCATTATCAGGGGATATAACAAAAGGAATTAAACTGAACATCAAACTCATAAATTAGGCCTACTTTACTGTTTCCCCTGAATTTATCACTGGATCCCTTATAGCGAGAATCCTGCTATAACGGACATTTTGCACTGGTCCCCTCCCTCTCGTTATAACAGGATTCCACTGTATTAACTCTTGTTGCTTCTGAAGAACAAGCAGTTAAAAGCAAAAACAGCTCTGTCCACTTGTATTTAAATTCTTAAATTATATTATATATATAATCTCAAACCCTGTTATACTGCCCCCTCCCCTATCCCGATTACATTTCCAACTTGTGCTGATGTACGAAAAGAAACACTTTTATAAACATACTACATGTAATTCCCCTTTAAACTGCCACCCCCCATCTACATGTACCTTAAAACCTGTTCACTATGTGAGTTTTTCGCTATGTGTGCAAACTAAACTGTAGCAGCAAGTGTCCAATGTCAAGGAAAATGATTCTGTGATGACTAGATGTTTCTGCAAGACCAAAACCTACTTAAATTTGGTAAAATGCATGGTGCCTGAACTCTGCAAGACACAGATGGGGAAGTGGGATGAACAGGGAGGGAGCAGATCAGCGGAGAGATAGCTTGCAGCTATTTTTAAAAATGGAATTTATTATCAATGCACAGCTGCCAAGTGTGTGCTTTGTACAATGTGTAATATGTACCAATGGTGACTTGTTTGCTGGAGATATGGTTGGGCAAATTTACAAGGACAAAAAATTATCTTTTTAATTGCCATTGTACAGTTGGTCATAATGAATTCGTCTAACACATATATACAGGTATTCGACTCAAGATCCGTGGGCTGTATCCAGACGGGTGAACAAGTATTTGGTGGTCGACATAGGAATTTTCGGGGGATAGTCTGGATTTGGCCTAAAAACGATTACTATGGAGTATGAGTTTTTGCTCCATCGAGCGCTTTAAATTTAAAGATCTATTTGGATTACTTTTGGTTCGAAACGAGTATTATTCGCTACGTACGCCGGTAGGCCTACGATGTTTGACGTGCCATGAGCGAGAGAAAATATCAAACCTTATTTGTTAAACATCAAATATGGTTAAATTAGGTACCACAAACTAAATTTTCAAAGTAGCTGTATGCCAAATTTATCAGTTCCATTTGAAAGGCCTATATCCATTGAGCATTTTGGTACCATTCTTTAACCTCTCAGTCAATTTTTAAGAAAGTTCAATTCACATGTTCTCCCCCGCGGCTCATCTCCGACCGCATGACTTTCACACCCCACCCCCTCCCTCCAGGCACACACAAAGAAAATCTCACTCATTCCCTTGCACCCTGCGATCCATGGACAATAATATTAGCAAAATACTGCCTTAGCCGCATTCCTTTCGTTCGTGAGCTGTGGACCAGGCCAGGGGGGTTGGTGTCGTCGCCTTGTAGTTGCTGTCGCCTGTGGATACACTCGTACCTTCTTCCTTTTACCTGCTCTGTCACTCACACTGTCTCTCCATCCACAGCTCAGCTCGTCATACGTTCAAAAGTTGCCCACTGATCATGTTTAGTTAGTGTGTGTATAAGTTTGAGTGTGTACATGTGCATGATGGTGGTGGATGTGTGGTGGGTGTTACAGTAGGTTATCTGTTACTGTAGACGGGTTTGCCATGCGGTGTTCCTTCCCAGACCAGAGGCAGAATGAAAGTTGGCGCCGAACTCTCACAATAAATAGGCAAAAGATCACGAGACCGGAAGCCGGAAACCGTTCGGAGAAATAGTCACTTCGTTATAATTAGTCCAGGGAAGTGGCTATTCTCACCCGGGGTGAGAATAAAAATACGATCTACCTCTCACCCCCGTTGAGACTTGCCAGCGTAGGCTATTCTCACCCGGTGTGAAACAAGACCTGTTTTTCCTCATTTTGGAATACTGTCTATCGGTGTGGATAATCAAATTGATAAAAGCCAATAAAAAATTACGTTATAGCACAAAAGTAAGCTAATTAGATCGTCTTTAAAGATGCTATGGCTATTTCACTTTTCGAATCGAGACGAACTACGCGGGTCGCCATTTTGTTTTGCCCGGAAGTTCTCGCAAGATCTACTCCTCCCCTCTCTCTCTGTCTCTTTCTGTAGCAATGACAATGAAAAATTAAATTTTCATCCAAATTGCTTTAAAATGGGCTTAAATGAAAATAGAGTAAATTCTAAGAACTATGGTTTTTAAATTTTAAAAATCCATTGATAAATTAAAAAGTTATTGGGATTTTTGTTTGCAAAATGTTGGAGGACCTTCATATAGGAAAAAATCGCCAAAATGTGGGACATGTTTTGATGTATTTTGAGGAAAAACTTCATAAGTCAGTAATGAATTGGAGCACATGAATGAAACTTGGCATCTCCATGTGATTTTTAGTGCCGAATCTAGTTCTGCTATCACTTTTTCGATGTCTTCATTACTTTGGATCTTAAAGACTGATATTTGCGTGAAATTTGTTGAATTGCGTGACATCGTTTTTACCGCGACGCGATCACCCCTTCTAAAACTCAGTAAAGCGCTATCGGGAAAACCTGCGATGTAGTCATCGGTGACCCATTTGGTTATAGGCAGCCAATCACATGCCGCCTAGCGATCACGCGCCTCTTGCGTGCCGGCACCTCGCGTTTGGAATGCGCGATCAAGTTTCTAGATCTAGTGTTTTATCAATGGATGGGTGGTAATTTTAAGTTCGTACGGAAAATCCACTAAACGCAGAGATCTGAAATTTTACAGCAATAAAGAAGACATGTGGGGCGCTTGTGTGGTCGGCGATCAACCCGCAGCTCCGCTTAGTTTTCGAACCGCAGAGGAAATTTGCACAAACACTGCAATATCTCCGGTTCTAGTAATCGTTCGGGATTGTACGCTGGCATGTCGTTAGTTTAACCTTTCCTCTGGTTGGTTGCCGAGTTTCATTTATTTTCGTCCAGGAGTTTTCCCGTAACTAAACTTAGAAGAGAGTCACTTCTGATTCCGAGCGGCCCAAAAAATACCCCTTGCGCGGAGGCCGATTTCCGGTCCAAGGCGCAGCGGGCGATTGGCATTGCTACTTTCTGAATACTGTCTATCGGTGTGGACGATCAAATTGACCAAAACAAAGTTAAAAAATGATGTTAAAAAAAAGAAAACTAAATTAATTTGGTTGTCTACAAAGATGCTTCGGCTATTTAACTTTCCGAATCGAGCCGAACTACGCGGGTCGCCATTTTGTTTTGCCCGGAAGTTCTCGCACTAGATCTAGATCTAGATCTAGATCTACTCCTCTCTCTCTCTCTCTTTCTCTCTCTCCACTGCACACAGACAAAATTGCACGCTTTTAGGCTAACACTGACAGTAGTAATCGATCTAGAACGTCTGTTCACAGCACAGAATTCTATAAATCGGTTATCACAGTGTAGAATTCTGTGGTTCAGGGTGAACGCTTCACTGGTTGGCCTAGGCTATAACGGTGAACGCCCACCGAGTGAGAATAGCCAAAAGACTCGCCTGCGCTATCCGGGTGAATAGAGGTGGCCTTAGTCCAGTGCTAGATCTAGAATCTATCTGGAGATGCAAACTTGACTGTATGGAAAATGCGCACCCATCTATACTCTGTACTGTTCCAGTTCGGACCAGGGAGCGGGTGAGAACCTTCATAATCCCATCCCAGTCTGACTGTGACTGCGACTCGCCGACAGTGCCGACAGATCTCTCGTCGACCTTTCTGGCGCGTGTCGCTGAGTCTGATTCAAGGCCGTTATCAATGGCACATGGGCAAATCGCTTGCATTATAGATTTAATCGTACATTCTTAACACTACTGACTAGCAAAAGAAAACAGATGAAACTTCCATGAAACTCAATAAGGGTGGGCGGAACTATTCGATGCCATTTATTATCAATCTCACGGCCTTACCTTCTTCGCGACCAAGGACGCCGCCATTTTGCGTCTTGTTATACAATAGGGAAACGCTCAGTAGCAGGCAGTCATCAGCAGTTGAAAATATCTGTTAGAAATAGATCATTTCGTTCAGCTTTAGCTTTTAACTTATCAATCTTCAATGAAGTAACACCCAGTCATGTTCGTTCTAACCAGCAACTTTTAATGGGCCTCTCTTGATCTTTTGCCACTTGTAAGGATTCACAGTAATCGTCAGTAACAACAGCGTCAGCTACCTGCTTGCCCCATTCCTTAAACATCCTAACCTCCCCAATGAGACAAAAACCAAGCTCACTAACTCTATCTTCATCTCGACTGACCTACCACTGCCAGACATGGACCCTAACCAAAAGTCTGGAACGTAAGATAACCACAAGCGAGATGAGATGATGAAGGAGAGCTGTCAACAAAACCAGACGGGACATGGTCAGAAACAACAAGATCAGAGAAAAGGTGGGACCAAGCCCTGTCCTCCACTACATTTGAAGGCAAACAATCAAGTGGTTTGGACATCTCACACGTTTGGCACCTAACCAGCTCGCCAGTAAAGCCGACTACGGGAAAGTATCAGGGTACAAGGCAAGAGGAAGACCAAAAAATATCTGGATTCAGGGAGGGAAGGATACCCTGAGAACATACAATATCCCACCCAGCCAGGCCATCAAACTTGCAAGAGACAGGAATTATAATAAGCCCTTTCTCCCCTCGACGCTCAAGAGGTCCGATAAAGTAAAGTAAGTCAGTAACATATTCCGTACTTTTATGTACGTAGCAACCATAGCCAACTTCCACCTAGTTATAAACTATTCTCCTCCCCAAGATACAACATTCACCGAAAAAAAAAATATAATAATGTGTCTCAAGTGAATTGTCGAAATTTGCATCGTTTGAGTGTTGCGAAAGCATGTTTTCCGTCATGGGGTACCCTGCTTTTATTTTATTTCTGTTCAACATATATATACATCCAAAATTGCCGGGATCGGTAAAGGTAGAGCAGGAAGAATCCTAACCTTTGCAGATGATGTGATGGTCTACGGACAAGGTCGTGATAGGCTAGCGGTTGGACGGATGCTACAGGACAAGCTCAGCAAGGTCGCAGATTGGTGTGAGGAATACAATTCGGTCATCAATCTAGACAAAGCACAGGTCATCTGGTGCTCACTCAACAACGGTATTGTGAAAGATCCTACCCCTCCAATTGTGTTTGGCCACTTTCTCACAGACAGTGTCGCGAGTGGCCAGCAAGTGCATCTAATGCGGAAATTGTGGCCATCCTAGAGGAAAATTCAGTGATGGGTGATGTTGTCGTCTTTACCGACGGATCAGTGAGGCGTGGCCAGAAATCTGGATGGGCGTTCAGTGCTCGAGTTGACGGTAGGATAATTAAAGAACAGTCTGGAGCTTACGAGTGCACTACGTCGATCATGGCAATGGAGGTCAAGGCAATAACAGAGGCGCTGGAATGGATCAGCATGGAAGCGTATAAACATGCCCTGTTTGTCACAAACTCGATGAGCACCCTACAAAAAATCAGGAGTGGGTGGCTCTACAGTGACTGGAGAGCTTCCATTGCAAATAGCCACCTCCTAAGAATTACATGGGTATTCTGCCCTGGTCACGCCGAGGTGCACGGAAATGAGCGTGCTGATGAACTTGCCGGCAAAGCAGCACCCAATGGCCGAATCATGCTCGACCCACCAATGGTGATCGCCAGATGCAAGGAGAGCCTTCACAACCAAGAGGAGTCAGACTCTCACACACTCAGCACAATAAAAGAAAAGTGTGTGCGGGGCACAGCGAAAAAAAGTTTGCTCCGAGGAGTGGTCAGGCGTGTCTCAAACCAGCTCCTCATGGAGACAATTAGCAGGAAGACCCTGAGATGGACGCTGGAAAGGGGAGATGAGCAGCTATGGACATGTGCCGCCTGCTCTGATTCTAGCTCTGGATCCAAGTAAATCCAAGTAAAATCATAGACAGACAGCATGAGTTGAAGTACCTGAATCCCTCAGGACAGGACACTTTCTTTCTAAAACATATTGACAATGTTGCTGCCAGGGCTCAGAAGGGCATCAATGTAGTGAAGACCTTGGCTTCAGCGGGAATTCAACGGAGAGTTCTTTTTCTCCTAATGCAGCCGGTGGTTCTGTCCGTCATAGACTATGGTCTGGGCATCCTCTCCCTGTCCAAGACTCAGATAGACAGGTTGGAGAGAGTAGGCTACAGAAAGCAGATATGAGGGCCGTTCTGGGTTGCACAAAGGACACCATGTTGTCTGTATGAGATAAATCCTTGACCTGGCCAACATCAGAGTGAGGCATAAGGCGGCACAGGCAAAGCTGTACTTGAATGCTTTGGGAGACCCGAGACACTCTTAGCATGACAACCTAAGCAGCATCAAAGGGAACTATATCAAACGGGGCAGCTTATGGATGGCAGAAGCCGAAGACTCCTTGGGGAAAGTTTGTGGCATCGATGAAATATACTGTGGGATGGTTTGAACTGAACCCCGACAGCAGAAGTCTGGCCAACGTTCACATCACTATGGGTCGTGAAAGACAGGAATGTGCTGCTGTCATAAACGACAATGACATACGACAGTTAATTGAGGAGCATTCCAAGCCAGAGGACCAAGTGATCTATACGGATAGATCGGTCAGGAGGGGTGAGAGAAGTGGGTGGGGTTTTGTGGTGTACAGTGGGAACAAAAAGGTTCATACCATGCCAAGGGCCATAGAAAGATCAACTTCAAGCCTGAAAATGGAGATTGAGGCCGTAACAAGAGCACTTGGCTGGCTTCAAAATACAAGACCAAGAACTACCCATCTCATTATTGTTACAGACTTCCAGAGCATCCTGCAAAGGGTTGACAAAGGGCTGCTTCGGAGTGAATGGATGGACCCAGTACAGCACTTATCACTTAGAGCCATCACGTGGATATTCTGTCCTGGGCACTCTGAAGTGAAGGGCAACGAGGAGTCTCATAGGCTGGAAGGCAGTGCCGTGGCTGATGGTGAGGTGAAATTTGACAAAGGAGAAGTGTTGAAAACCCTGGAGGAAAAGTTGCGGGATGAGGAAGACCGGGAGACAGCAGAACACCACGCAATCATTAGGATGCGGGAAATGGGGATAGAGAGGGGATAATGAAGAAAGGAACGATTATCTGGAAAGGAAAGACGTCGCCATAATCAGACAGCCACCGGAACAATTAGTATGGATACCTGCGGGCTTTGGTGCTTTGGGGGGGCGGGGGGGGGGGCTGAACACTTATGGACCTGTTCGGTGTGCAATGACGTTGCTGCCCAGGAAGGTAATACAGGTACAAATGTAATTTCATTTGTAGGCTAATTTACCACCCACCACCAATTAAACAGAAAGAACAAACTTCGAAACAATGGTTTCATTAGTGAATTTCAAGACTTACTAGATCAGATTAAGAGAGAAAAAAAAACGCCCCATCATTTTAAGAGACTCAACTTTAGTTTTGAGGATCCATTTTACTCTAGCATTAAGGCTATCAGTTCCAACATTATGGGCTCTCAAGGTGATCCACCAATCCATCAGCCTAGGGTGCCCAACACATAGCAATTTTAAAGGCCACAATAATAATAATTTTACATTGGGTTATGACTGACCAAAAATATCAATGCTATAAGCGATACTACGACTACGGAACAAACAATTTCAAACGACCATATCGTGTCATTTGAAATCGACGGTGTAAAGAATCCTTCACCGAAACAACGAACAATTGTACCCGCTTTAACGACATCGACCTTTCGAACTTTGACGATAGCATCTCGCTACCTTAGAATTACAAAGTTCTATCTGCTCAGTACCTAGTTTTGAAAAATTTCCAGTTTCACATGTCACGCTTTTTCGAATGCAGTTCTTAGAATTATCTTGATAACAACCCCAAACAACTAACGATTCTGATAGGCCACATATAGAACATTAGGTTTCTGACCTTATGGTCCTAGTAACTCAAAACGGCAAAACATGTCAGATAGAACTTTGTAATGCTGAGGTAGCGATTTCTCAGGCGCTGTTCTGCCATTGAGGACAACGCCGACAACAAAGTAGAGGCACTAAACACCACCCACGCTGTCGCAGATGTTAGAGAGATGATATGCCCTACAAAACAAAAGACGGTGACCGACCGACCCTCCGTTCATGGACGAACTTTGACATAAAAGCTGTCAAAGAAGAACGCCGGTGATTAGAAAGGCTACGGAGGACAACGAACCCCGAGATACATGAAGAAATGTACACTTTCAAACAACAAATAAAGAATATTAATTAATGACAGCTTCAAAATGGGTCACGACGCGGTGGAACCAGACGCCCGTCAGTTATGGGGCATATGTAATTATCGACATCATGAAAAAAAAAAAGCCGGTTCAATTGTCTTGTTTTTGGTGACAGAAATATCAATCTATCTTGGATAGAAATCGAGGACATTTGAGCTAGAAGCAGAAGGGGTTTGCCTGGTGCCAGAGGTATAAATTAGCGAGAAAACGGCGGCCAAAGTTTGGTGACTTTCAAAGCTCGAATGTTCATGAGCATGAAAGGTATAACGCCCCAATTGCTCAATGAACCGAAGAAAAATGTGTTTTTCCGATTTAATTACTTTGAAGAGTTTTTAATGTCACCTCAATGCAAAACAAATACACGTAGCCTATGCATATTAAGAAGCAAAATGATCAGGTAATGTACTACTTCAAAAACCATATTAGAATTTTGGTCCACAAATTCTTTTATCTTAAAAAAAAGGGGATTCTTCCTCTAATATTCCAACAATAAATTATTTTTTAAAAGACGAACTTTCTGGTGCATTTGGAGGAGTCCTTAGAAGCAAAGTTTCTAAAACCCGACAGAAAACTGATACATTTCCGCATCGTCAATATTATATCGTCTTTCGAAGCATTTTTAGAAAGTATGTGGGTTCAGGCCAGTCTTACAGAAAGAATTCAGATCAATTTTAATCCTCAGCCCCTTAGAAATCTATATACACCTCGTGTAGACGCAAATGCCTTTCAGACATCAAATCTTATAAATAAAACAACTACATGTATCACTATTAATGTGTCTCTTCTGTCTGAAAAGGTACCACCACTTTTTAAAGCGTGCTACGGATAATTTATAATTATTTCCCTCCTGAAGAAAACAAATCTACCCTCAGATAAATTGAATGATTTAAAACCCGCCTCAAACTCGCCCTTTTTTTATCGAAAGTTATAATGGTTACCTGTGTGTGGCTGATGAAAGAAAAATCTATGTTTGAAATTTCTAACACGTTTCTCGACTAGTTTAAATATTTTTTAAAAACAAGGCAGACCCAGTCAGTAGTTGTGAAAGGAACCCATCAGTCTGTTTTGATAATGTTTATACCCTACTACAAGGCGTACCATTTATTTATATATTTATTTCTTTTCTTTTCTTTTCTTTTTTTTTG